ACCAGATCCGTTTGGCATCGTGAGGCGGCTTAGATTCTTTTCGAAATTAGCAGCCTTCTATTCCTGTGTCCGATTTGGTCATCTTGGAGTGCTCCATAGACAAGCCAGAAAGCATAAACAAAGCTGTCAGCCAGGCGGGAACAAGCCTGCTTGTCACACGAGACAAGCACATAGCCTGAAGCCTGCCTGCTTGTGACAAGCCACGAGAGATTGAGCTTGTCACGAACCACGAGACAAGCTCAATCCTGCTTGTCACACTGCTCATACGAGGACTGTCTCGAGGAAAGAGACTGAATGTCGTCTCATCGGTCTGGTCCAAGGAATCCGCCCCTGATCCATGATATTTGGCATCCCTCACCCATGATATCTTGACGATTTCCCAGTGAACAGCTCCCCGACGTCACTGCAGATGCAAACAGTCGTGCCGTTGCCAGAAGGCGATCCAGATGGGCGGGGGGAGGTCACGGAGGCACTGCACCCCTTTACCTGGGACAGGAAAGGGTCCGAAAGGCTCTGACGGGCCCATAGCCACCTGAACAGACGCCATTGTCGGCACAAAACGCAACAAAATGGACGTCTTTGAGCTTCCAGGCGACCACGAACAGCCACAAGCGAAAGTGAACGGCTTACGAGAAGACGGAATTAATTATTCACTGTTAGAGGGGGAGTTGTTTAGATGTTTTAGCTCTCATTACGATGTCCAGAGGTCCTACGCTGTCTCCAGGGTCTTATATGTTCACTTGCATGCTCAAGCCGATTGTTCAGGACCTTTCTACGTTGCTCTGGCTTTCTTTGCATTTGCTCGGAGGTCCCTGCGCTATTGCTGGGACTCTTGCTTCCAGCATGCCCAGTCACTGTTGTCAGTCAAGGCCCTTTCCACGGATGCTTTTCATTCATACGCTCTATACGCTAGAGTCGGGGGCCCCCATATCATATGTTGACCTGCCGGGGGTATTTTCGGTTGCTTAGGGACCCTTCACGTTGGTCACGGTCAACCTACCGACACACTCACGATTTGCTCATGGACTCTCTACATTGGGCTAGAGCGCTCCCAATCCTCTGTCACTTGCTTGGGGCCCTAAACTCTTCTTAGCGGTCAGTCTGTTAGCCTGCGTGAGCGCACTCGGTTGTTTGGGGCACTCCAAATTGGGCCTTGGGTGCTTCGCATTTGAATGGAGGGCTCAGTGCATTTGTCGGAGGCCCCACCTCTTATCCCGGTAAGATACACTGGATTGTTTGGGGGTCTTGCATGTTGGGTTTTTGCATTTGAATATAGGGTCTTACGCCCCTGTCGGGGGCCATCTAAAGGCCTGCTTGGGTGCACTTGATCTTTTGGAGGCCCTCCACAGTGGGTTTTAGGTATTTCTTATTTGAATGCAAGGCCCTGTCTGATAACCTCCTCGGGCACGCTCGCTCGTTCGGGGGCCTCTCTACGTTGCGTCGTGGGTTGAGATTTCACCGCTTTAGAGCGTGACTGCCGGAGAATGTCCCGCGGGCGGGGCTTAGACACACGACATCAGTAACGGACTGCTGTCAAGCTGTATGCAGCCCGGACCTTGTTCGGGTTTTCAACAGTGGGTTGGTGTTTTATGAGCAGCTCAGAGGCACTCATTGTACCAGGGGCTATGTTAGGGGCAAGAGACCCTCTCACTGAAATTTAAGCCCCCGCCCATGCGGTCGTGGGCCGCTGAAAAAGACCTCCGGTCAGCCTGATGCACCCCTCAGGCCTTCCAATCGGGCTCTTCATCGTCGTTCCTGAGCGGTCCAAAGGCCTCCTCAGGTCATAAGGGGCGGGCGCCTTCTATGCGTCCCTGCTTCCGACACAAAATTAATACTCGGCGTCATTCTTGCTCACCCAGCTTCCTCCACTCTTTCCCTGAGCCATCCTTATTGCACCCGAGGTCACTAGGTTGGATGCAAGCCCTACCTTGTTTGTACTTTTCAGCTTTAGTTGGAACAGACACGTGGGATTTATTATGGAGTATCGGTTTTCTAAAAATGCTTCTGAATAACTCATCATTTTGATTTGAAGAAACCGCTCCGCCGGGAGAAACGCCATTGGATTCCCTGCTTACCACTATGAAAAAGACTTATTTCTTGCTTTTCTCAAAATGTATGTTATGTAAAACATCCAGTGTATAAAAATAATCTTGATAACGTATAAGTATCACCGTGATATTGAGTTAAAATAATGAATAACGTGAGTTTTGCAATACACAAATTGACCAAAGACGTGTGCAAAATGGTATGAGGTTTTCAATGACTACATGTAGCGAAAAATATACAAACTATTAGGTGATTAATCGTTAAGATGCGGATCAAACTAGCGTCATAGTATTGCTTTTGGCTTATTCCCCACGGTCTTTAGCAAAAGGACTCCTTCCTAATAGCATTTTGACTTAATGAAATAATGTTAGCTTGGATGCTGAGGTCGTTGCAAGGCTGTATTTACAAAGTGGGTATATATCAGAACATACGAAAGGGTTCATTGACGTACAAGCTCAAACTCACATGAATGACGCATTAAGACGCAAAATGCAAGAAGCCTTATAAATCGAAGAAGACGACGGTTTAAAAAGACTGCACATAGAGGGATATACGTTAGATTTCGCCATCGAGCTCTTAAGCTGCAATGTTCGTAGCAATAAAAGATATTGTGATTGCTGGCAAATCTAGATTCTAGCGATGACAGGTGTCCGCTACGACGTCAGTTGTCAAACGTGACGAAAGTAAGTTTGCTTGTTTTGGAGAAAATTGTCTTCAGCCCCTGGTGTGCAAACGCACTAGGGAAAATCAAAGATTGGATTTTGTTATGACTAACGAGAAGGGGTTAGTGGATGCTTTGACAGTAGGTGAGACGCTGGGAAACAGTGACCATAATATTGTAAAGTTTTCATTGCATCTTGGTTATTTAGATAGCGCTAATCATACTTTCATTTCAGATTTTGGCAGAGGTAAATTTGAAAGACTTGCGACCGTACTTGCTAACTTCTAGTGAGAAGATTTTCTTACCGGACATACAGCACGTCAGATGTGGGAAGTCTTGAAGGATATTTTAGAAGGACAGGAAAGATTAATTTCCTTGAAGAAAATGCGAGAAAAATAGCTGAAGGGCGCTCAGGTGTTGAGAGTAGAACGAAAACCACGAGTAGTGCTCAACGGTACTAAATTTCGTTGCAAGGTAGTAAAGAGTGGGGTACACAGGGGCAGCTTTGGGCCATTTCATCTTTACTATTGTTGTGAATAATATTCAGATAGGATGAGAAAAAAAACGTGCTTAAATTTCCTGGTGATGTCAAATTGATGGAGGCGTCAAAAAAATACTGGTCAGGTGAAACCTGACTGAGAGAGACTAATGAGCTGGGGCTCTCACTGGCAGAGCCATTTAACTATGATAAATGTGAGGTGATGCATTTGGGTTTTTCTGGCAGTGAGGACACTAGCTATAAAATGGGAGGCCTGCAGTTTGACCTGATGGAGGAATGGACTTAGGGAATACATTTCCAGGGATTTAAAGGCTGGAAAGAAATGTGGGGATGCTATGGACAAGACGCTTTGGATGCTGGTTGTTCTTGAAAGTAATTCCCACTACAAAGTGGGAATGTCGTCAAAAAGTTGTGCTTAGCTTATGTAAGAGAGCACTAAGAATGTTATGTACACGCTTGGTCCCTATGCTTCCAAAAATATAGAGATATGCCGGAAAAGTACAGCAAAAAGCAATCAGGATCACAAATGGGATTGGCAACTTAGATAGGCTTGATGAGAAGAAGATAAGCTAAGGCCTTGGATTTGTAGCTACTGGATTATTGCGGACATAGAGAGGATCTGATAAAGCTGTTCAAGATTGTAAAAGGGACAGAATAGGTAGATCTACAAGGCACACTGGAAATCGGGTGGAGACCTAGAGGAAACCTTGTTCAGGTGGCAAAAGGGAGGAGTACAACTACGAAAAAGGCAGGAATCATTTAGCCAAGGAGTAGCGAATCATTGGAATGGGTTGCTAACCAATTGTAAGAAGTCTCTCTCTCCTTCAGCGTTTGAAAACCGTTTGTACAAGTTCTAGTGGTCGAAGGATGCTATTACAGCTAAATTCAGGAAGATCAGGTGGTAAGATTGGGGTCGAAAATGTGTGCGGAACCTTATGTAGGCCAACCTCAATGGACCCCTGTCGCTCTTTGTTGACCTTATTTCTTAATGTCTTGATGAATGCCAAGGTGACTTTGAAATACTCCTCTCGAAATTCTCTCCACATTTTCGCGGGCGTGCAGCTCACAAACCAGTGAGGCTATGTCTTAGGAACGGCAGGGCTGTGAACTGCACCGCAAGGTCTTCAAGGCGGCTATTTCAGTTTAAAACCCCACATAAATGTGGAGCAGACCCTTTTAGTGTGACATATACTGTGTGCTAATTCAATACACTAACGCTGAGCTTATGCAATATGAAAAGTGGCACGCTCTTGGGTCCAAAGAAGATTCATTGATATGTCAGGATGAATGAGAATTCGTGCAATTTTCCTTCAAACAATTTTCCAGGTAATTGGAAGCATTGATGGGTATGATTTTTGATCTGCTCCGTTAAAGGACGCGAGAAATTCAGCGTGACTGAATGTGACTGTAGTGCAAGTCATGTCATGCAGTGTGACTGAAAAGATATTTGTCTCTCAACGAATATGCGTATGTTGCAGAACAACAATCATATTAAATAAGCCTTGATGGACACCTGCCAACCAGTCCGTTCGTCCGTCTGTTTGTCAGTCTGTCTGCCAGCTAGAAGTCGGCGCATCTCCCCGATCTGCCCCGTGCGAGCCCTGCCACGGCCGACCGCACCGCGCCACCAGACCAGTCAAGCCGGAGAAGTCGCCGCATTTCGCCGAGCTACCCGCCCGAGCCCCGGCCGCGAACGGCCGCCAGTTAATCTGGCTTTAAAACCTGTCTTCACGAGCCGCAGACATACATTCGTGCTCAGCCGGAGCCCGGGCTGCTCTCCCTCCGACGTCGTCCTCGCTCGGTCCACCATGAAGGTGAGTGCCTGCTCGGGGCATGATGCACTCAAATATCGGAAACGGTCATGTCGCGATCGGGAGAGCCCCTGACTGCCAAACCCCGAGATGACGTCACGTTTCAGCTTGGTTCCATTTTGAACAGCCCCATCGCGCTCTGTAAATTAACAGAATGCTATCAGATTTCAATATCTGCGGACTGGAGGCTGACAGATAGCAGCGTGCCCTCCCCCTTAACGCGTAGTCTTCTGAACCAAACGCAGAACACGCTGCGGTCCAAAGGCAAACCCCATATGTTTATGCTGGACTATTTGCGTTTTTATGGCATTTCATTGATCTTCTCAAACTGAATTCATTTTTTTCAACCATTGTTTGACAATAGCTGAATTCGGCCCGAGAAGACAAACCAAGTGACTTCAAGCACTCAAAATGGCCAAACAATGACGGCATATGGGGGTTTTGCCTTTTGGACGGGCCATATGCGTGGGGTGTTTATTGAACGACATGATCAGCCATATCACCCTTAATAACTAAAAGTATGTGACATAGATCAGGAAAGTTTGATGGCGCCGAAAGATTTTAAGACATGATCACTATGAACAAAAGCCCCGCCTTCCTACTTTTCGGTGCGCAGCCAGGGCTCCGTTGAAGCGTGTACGTGCGTGTGTGTGTGTAAGGGGGGGACGGGGGGGGGGGAGCGAGCAGTGCTGCGATTTTCTCCCACACCCCGTGGTGGTCGAGAATGTCTTCATAAGTGTAATCAAACAGTTTCCACCACGACAAACAAGGCGAAGAAACAGCAAGAACTTGTTAAATCTAAATGTCTAAAATATTTCGAAAAGGCGTTTTTGTTTCTAGTACCAAAATCAGCGTCGCAATTACACACGCAGCTTGTGCTCACTTGGGTCCAACCACACACGGGCGTAACATAGATATTTTTAGGGTTAATTTGACGTAACTACATTGCCACGGCTATCAGCTGTTTAGTTATTTTGGCAAAGCTGGTCTAGTCTTCTGGACGTAGACGATTTCTACTTTTTCAAGGAGATATGTAGACCGGTACCTCAAAAAGCCTGAGCAGGATACCTATGAGCAGAGGACATCCTTTGGCCGCGTCCCTGACAACTTAAGTATTCGGACTGTTCAAACCAATTCCAAGGACTCCACGACTATCATCAGTTCAATAACCTTCCATCGTATTTAATTCACTACGATATTCGTTTATTGGTAAAAATTCTCTTACGTGAAACGTCAAAGCGAAGGTGGTTTAAGTGTACTTTTGATCATCGATCGAATTTCTGGAGGCAAAATTGTCGCAAGCGGTGTAACGCGACACCACATGACATACAATAGTAATGTAGTCCATGCCCAGTAACGTGAAAAGGAATCGCTGCAACACTGAAAGCCTCTTTCGTCACCGCAATCTTCAAGATCATTCGCACAACCAAACCGCTCCATTGAATACTGTTAGCTTATGTCAGGTCAAGTGCTGCTGATAGGAAACAGGCGCACTTACAATAGGCTATGGGATATCTCAATCAGAATAGCATTATTCTTTCACCCCCCTGACATACTTAAGCCTAATGTTTAAACTCGATCTACGGCTGGATTTGATTTTCCTCGCGCGCAGAAAAAGAACAAATGGCTTCGATAGCCAGGGAAGCAGAATACACGGCATGATTTGAGCCAATGGCAGGCAGCACTCGGGATGACATCCAATATACGGGC